CATTTGTCAAACTTAACCATAATTTATCGAATTGCAGTCCAGCACTACAGTCCCAGAACTTGAAACAAATTAAAGCAAACTCTTAGAAATGTGATTCGAAAATTCCTAAAAGTAAGCATTTTTCCCAAAACGGAATCGAACTATTTTTCCTTTTCATACGTTAGTCAGTACTTCTTTGATGTAGAGGAGATAGCCTGTATCAGGTTATCTTAACGGTAATTCTGAAACGCGTTTTCGAGTAAAAAGACTGTCATATTTATTATAGTGCCAAATAAGCCAATTATATTTCAGTCACGCTAGAACGCCGGATTTTGAATGCGCTTCTTTTCCCCAGCAATCAGAACTCACACTGGATGATAATGACTATTACGTTATAACAACTGTGCCGACTCGTTTACAGTGTTCTCATAAATTAACATATATTTGATTAAAAACAGGCCCACAAATATTTGCCTATTTAGTTAGTGGGAAAAAGAGTATGTTTTTTCAAATTCTATACCCGAAATGTGCAGTTATTGGTTTACTTTTCTCATTTGCGGAATAATTCCGAACCCAAATCGTTTTTGGACTTAAAATTAAGATTTTTAAATCGATAATCATATTCGTTTCAGGCAAGAAAGCTCGCATATTCCTTTAGGCTATTAAAATGATAACATATAGTGCTGGTAAAATTATACAATGCTCGTGAGCCATATGATATATTTCATAAGCAGTAGTAATAAATTGACGGCTGAATGAACATTACACGGTCTTAACATTCTCATAGTTAAAAACTCTTATAAGCCTGCAATGCATTCTTTTTTGAGTAAAAAGTGGAAAAAGTCGTGACTAGTTAAAAACAGAGTACAAGGAAGTATACTTTAAGCACACTTTCTATAAACTATACTTTAGTTGATAGAAGCGTCAAAAATCCATGGAGGAAAATGTTACTAGGTAAGCAGTTCTTATCTAACGAGTGTGGCTTTGAAGTCGACAGGAAAAAAGACGATATTTCGGTGTGATTGAAATATCGTGTGATTTACAACCCTAACTAAAAGCTCCATTCAAATTATAAATACATTTCAAAATTTCGGTAAGAATTGTATGTAATACGCCACCTTATGTGTATCTTCTGCAAAAATGACATACCTAGAGTTTCAGTGCTCACAATCCCATTCACCCCACTACAGGGGACCTCTATTCGTGTTTGCTAACTTTGTAAGCCTGCTCAATTAGGAAATATAAGTTCTTGTAAAATTGGTTTAAAGCCATTAACTCTCGGCAGGTACGTTTGCTCTATGCCCTAACCCCGCAAACATGGGCAGTTCAAGGCGGCATCGGTCAGTAGTACACTTAGTTCTCCAAATGCACCAGGACCAGCATTTTTTAAATTCTTGCTGGGAAACCGTTACTAAATATACGGCAAGACACAGACGACTAGCAGTATTTTTTCGAGGGTTTAGGGCTGGGTGCCGGTTATGCCACGGAATATTTATGTCTCCTGGAATTTCGCGTAAGGCCACCTGCATCCCCAGGGGATCATATTCTAATGTCTTATCAACATATACTTAAGATTTTTGCTTGGCACTTGGTTTGCTTAGGTCCAATATTCATTCCGCCAGCGACTAATTGCAAATCCACATAAAAACTTAAAAAATCACAGACTTAATTTCAAAAATACCAAAAGCTAAGTTAATTCTGAACAGAGACCACCAAACGTTGGACGTAAGGCTCTTAACAGGTAAAAAGCAATACAAACGGCATGTTAGCTGCAAAGGTTCCAAGGAACCTTTATATTGTCACAAAAACGTTACAGGGTGTGTTGGTAAAGTACAGAAGACTGGAAGAAAACGTTTGGCCACGGAACAAGAAGAAATAGTATTTTTACCTTGGATTTTTATGCTTACGCTCTAAAGTTATACGTCATATAACAATGTGCAGCCTTTTGTAAATTAAATCTGCATCCACTGTTGTCCAAAAGATGCCATAAGTGAATTTTCACGAAAATTCTTATCGTGCGAAAACAGACAGGAACCATCCTCATGAAATACTATGACGATAGTTCTGGTTAATTGCTAAATTTGGAAACTATTCCAGGATTTCGATAGTTATACTTTCGGAACTTCTGACGAGGAAATAAACATGGAATTCACTGTTGTTGCTGCTGCAATTTACTGAAATTGCACAGTCATCATTACGAATTTATCTTTAAAATTTAAACTAGAAATTGGAAGCTGCTTTTTTACGTAGCAGCCAAGGGTGGCTTATCCTGCATATACATTCCCGTTATAATCCAGTGTCTTTGGCGCTTCTAAGGTATTTTTATGCAAAATAAGCCAAACATGCAGGTTTACAAATCTAGCATCTTTTTGTAAAAAACATCACTCCTCTCTGGGTTAACAACGTTCAATACAGCGCATATCGTGTTTGTTCTTGTTTATAACTCAACCCTGTATGCAAAACTCTATGTTAGGCCGTGAGGCAACGTAAATTATTCAAATGCCTACAAAACCGTACACCACGACATCTCTGTGTTTAGGCAGACCATTTTGCCTGCTTTTTGCACTCACAAGATGGATGTAAAAGCAGTCTGCCTCACAACAGGTTTGCTTAAACTGCTAGGTAGAATGTTTTGTACATTTGCCCATTAGTTTGCAGAAAATAAAAAACGACACAGTTATCTAAAAGAACAACTTATCATGAGAAGTAAATTTTCAGAACTCTCATAAGGGCAGGAAGTGTGCATATTTTATAAACCTTCTATAGAGTGAGTGATGCCTCAAAGAAATCTTAAAAATCCTTCTATATTATGCGAAAAAATTAATGATTGTTTGATTGGATGCCGACCAGACAAACTTGCAGTTCAAAACCTTCCGGTATTATTGAATTTTAAAGTATCTTTTTGGGAATTAGCCTTCTGTACGGCAATAGCTCGAGTAATGGAAATTATTTGGTTTTTTTAGTACCTCGAAACGTGATTCATTCTGATCAGAGTGCTAGTTGAACGTCACAGTTATAGACCAGATTTTATCGTGAATTTACTAGGTTATAACACATTTTATTATTGAATGCTCATGTGTTTGGAAGAGGATTTTTTGGCTGAATAATATGCTCTTACTTTTTAATAAAATTAATGAAAAATCACCAGCGCAGGTATATGAACCGACAATATAAAAAGTGATTTTTGCTAGACTTATAATCATTGCTAATCAATGAGTAGCTATCGTCGAATTTGTAGCTTCAATTCACTTTAGCTCTGCAAGTGGCGAATTACACATGGCTTATTTTTTGTTTCTTGCATATATGACAACTTTCGAGCACATGACTCTCATCAAATAAATCCGAATCATCTGTGTATTTTTCTATCAAATGAAAAACCATTAAGTCAGGCATGGTAAGCCAATTTAATACTTTCTTAAACGTAGGACAAGGAACAAAAACTGGCTCAGTGCGAATCACAAACGCAAAATTTCTCTAAAACAATGTACTTCAAATATTTTCCTTGTTGCTAATGTTCAGTAATGATATATCACGTAAACATTTAAGAGGGCGATTTTGGTAAACGTACGCTTCCGATTATTCATCCTTAGGCCTCGACAATAATATAAGTGAGGATAGAGTAGCAAAAGTTTAAACAGCCAATAAATAGTAAGTGTGGGGGAGTGAGTTGAGGACGTTCCGACGTCGAGGCCTTATGAGGATTAATCAAAAGTGCACAGTATGGCGACTGCTGCAAACAAAATGCCGCAGTTTGCAAAAGACTGTTAATCACTCAAAAACCAACATTGAGTAGCGTTGCAATGCTGATTATTATGCATCCTAGTAGCAGGTATTTTCAGTCACGGCTGGATGCCGGCTCTGTAATGATTTTCTTTCTGGCCACTTACAAAAAGCAGATTTTTTAAAAAAATGGCTACTTAAATAGCATGCATTTTTATAATGAATTTTGACTGCCTTTTAAATTTAAATAAATTTTAAAGAAAACATGGACGACCATATTTTTCTTGTACTCGTTCCGTAGCAAATTATGCCTTCTTTTAATTTTATACTTAAAGAAGTGGTATTCTTTGGAAAGTTTCTAAATTGAGGAATAATTTTGAAATTTACCGACTGTCACATCTGGATGCAAGTTTTACATGCATAATTCTGTGTACATTCTGTTAAAAGAAAAACAGTTTTTGCCTAGGTCGCATAATTCTCACAAAATGTTGCAATATAGGCGGATCATGTTGTATGCATTATAGGCAGCATTAGTAAATTGACGGATAAAATGTATTATGAATGAACACCTCACAGTCGTAAAAAATTTTGTAGTTATATATTTTCTCTAAAACCCAAGGATACGCCTTCTTTTAGTATATAATTTAAAGGAGGCATAATGTCCTACGAAACGCGTACAAGAAAAATATTTTCGTGCATCTTTTCTATAATATCTATTTGAGTTTATAAAGGCAGTCAAAATCCATAATAAAAATACATTCTATTTAAGTAGCCATTTTTTAAAGAAACTCTCTTTGTAAGCGTTCAGAAAGAAGCTCATTACAGAGCCGGCATCCAGGCGTGCCTGAAAAGACTTGCGACTAGACTGTGCGATACTCATCGTTTTGCTTGGAGAAATTGCCATACTGTAAGTTAGCCAACCTTGGCTCCTTAGTTTTTGTCACAGAAGGGAAATTTTTATAACTGAAGAGTACATTTTTGAAATATCTTTATTTTCGTCGCCTCTCTGCTACAAAAATGGTAAAACTGACATACGTATTGGCGGTTCCTTGAAATGCCAATTTTGTTTACGGCCTGAAATAAGAGTCGTTGGGGTGTAATGCCATTGTATGCTGTCTTATTGAATAAGCTTGTATTCAGAGTTCCAAAATTACCGCGGAAGGCTTTCATTTCAGAAAAAGTCTTGTCTCCGACTTTTAGCATCGACAACACGGCCATTTAACGGGAGACTGGGTAGTGACAAAAGCGAAGCTACCAATAATGTCTCCAGAACTCACCAGCTCACCTTTCGGGTGGCACGCATGCCGCGCGACGAAAGCCTCGTTGAGGGCAGTCTCCGACTGCCCTATACATTTCTCAATGGGAACCCACAAGACGCACCAACCAGCCTCCCCACCTCGTCTATCCCAGTGCATGTTTCGGTGGGTCTGCTCATACCCGGAACCAACTCCCTCGACATTACTTCCAAATGCAGGATTGCCTTTGAACGCGAGGCTCAGGGACTAAATGTTGCCACGGACGGTGAGGAAAGTGGTGTTCAGGGCTGGTTGAATATCCCACTGCCTGGCTCAGCACTGCATCTCCTTCTTCGTGCTGGAAATCTACACCGGCGATCTCTCACCCTGCGCGTGGATATACACATAGTCCGTTCGCAGCCAGAGGACGTTCGTAGTGTGGCCTATGTAGAGCGCAGTCCAGACAGATCCCCACATATTATAACCTTCCACAGGGCCAAAAAGAATGATATTCAGAAGCGGTTGCGACGAAGACAAAGGGACGCAGGGTCTCCGGAAGGAGGAAGTGGCCCTGCCGTTAAAAAGGTAAAAAAATAAGTTTGCATTCGAATAATAATCTAGGCCTCTACTTAGCTATATGAAATGTCCAGAATCCTTAAAAAGCCCAGATTTTCCACTGATAGAAAGAGTTATTCCCCAGCATTGGTCGCCATCGTGGGATTCCATTCCCCTGTCAAAGTTGGCATAAATCGTATCAATAAGAGTCCATCTTCACGCGTGATCCCATCACACATCTCGCTTGATAACACCTACACTTTCAGTAACGTTGAGGGAATTCGAGAACGAATATAAGGCAATCGATTAAGGCGCCTCACACACTGAGATCGATTTTGCGTATTCCCTATTTGCATGTCTTAAGAGTAGTCAGAATTGTAAAAATCGTTGCCCACTAGGTCATTCTATTTGTCACTCATACCAAGATCGAAATTCATTTAATCAAATTATAGATGTGAATATGTGAATTTCAGGAAGCAGTTCAGAAGAAGAAGATGCGACCACTGGAACAACAGTTTTATTCTCCTGACGTTTCGGATTCCCGACGGAATTCGAAACGTCAGGAGAATAAAACTGTTGTTCCAGTGGTCGCATCTTCTTCTTCTCTACACAAACTATCTTGTTATATTAGAAAGTTCTTGAAACTCCTAAGAAAGAAGCCATGGTTGTCGGTTCTACGAGCATTTTTAAGGATATTTCGAAAATTTCTCGCTGTGATGGGCTGTCAATTCTTTAAGCTCCATTTCCCATTTGAGAAGTGAATAAGTAAAACTGAAGAACTTTCTGTGCGATAACGTAGATTTCGACAAAGGCTTATAGATGTTAAAGCATAAGAAATGTTATAATTAAAAGAACACCGGTGACAAAAGGACTGTAGTCAGACATCCAAGGGATAGAATCCTACTTTGGGTCCCAGGTCAGCACACGAAAGCCCCATCCTTCTGTAATACAGAACCGAATGTAATAAGAAGTATACAGTCTGGTCAATACAAAAGAAAGGAAATATGAATAAAAATGAAGTTATTAAAAGTGGAAATAACAGAAATAATTATTTAAATAATCCAATGATTGTCAACAAAACGCATGCCATAAATAAGATGCGCAATTATGAAAATATTGGGAAATAAGTTAATTAAAGATAAGTATCCAAGAGTAAAGTCAACTAAGTGAAATCGTAAACTAAAGTAAGCGAAACTTAGTTAACGAAATAAGCTCAAACTAAAATAAAAATATTAAACAGAATAAAGAAATGAAAACTAAACCAAAAACTGAACTGAATATAAGTTAAATAAACCAAATAAATATACTAACATAAAGTATTCGTGCATGTAAATTGAGCTTATGCGCGACACTTCGCGCCGCGAACTATACTAACCTAACTCCAGAACGGTAAGTTTTACCCCAGGTAATTTGAAGTAGACGACCTCCTAACCACCAACCTTTTTTCAGGAATATGAAGAAACCCAATAAGCTATAAAGTACAAGTAAGTGAAAAATGTTTATTTGTAGCGCGCTATTAAGTTGCGATAACATTAGATGATTTAAACCATTTCCGGTACCTAACGTAGGATTCCACCCAAGATTGCGTCACTGTTATTAGTTGTTTAGTTTCGCTAGTGTTTCATCCAAACTGTAAGAATGCTCCAATATTTATTTTTGAACAGTTTCAACTGAGTCACTTATAAGGCCGAACATTTTACGGATCATTTAGCATGTTTCGGCACTTGTGCATTCCACAGGTTAACGAAACGCTTCGAAGAAAGCGCACACCCCCATCGTATGATGACAGGAGACAGCCGACTTCTGCTAGTGGTGATAGGGGACGTCGTCATCGCCGTCGTCGTCGCAACCCACAGCGACAACGGTGGCGGAAATTTGACAGATTTCGATTCAGCCAGCGGTATGCCCAGTCTACCTGCCGCAGGTACGATCTAACTGTGGATTTTAGGAGCATCGGGTGGTCAAAGTTCATCTTGGCCCCCTCCAACTACGATGCTGGTTACTGCTTTGGTTTTTGCCCCTTTCCCCTCTCCTCTCACTTCAATGCAACCAACCACGGTCTGATGCTCTACCTCCTCTCCATGCTTAACACAACCAACATCCCTTCCCCCTGCTGTGTGCCGCTCAGTTTCAAACCCCAGTCACTTCTGTTCATCGAGCATGGCGATGTTGTCCTGAAGAGTTTCGAAAATATGGCGGTAGACAGGTGTGGTTGCAGGTGATACCCCTTTTTGCACCTGCTTCGCCAACGCGGTACCGTACTCACGGCGGCGTCGTATTCCTTCGGTCAGTGAGGAGGAGGACAAAGTGCACTGCCAATTTTATGCATCATCTCACCAGAGCGCCCGTGGTCGCGAGCCACATCACATTCACTGATGACTTGTACATGAAAATACCAATATATCGATTTACATTGTCATAAATCTACAAGCCGAACTGAAGCGACGGTTTTGTCACTATTTTTTAGAGATGAAAAATAAATTGATCGAACCATGAGTAGGACCTTTTTGAAAATAACGTCGAATATGAGAGAAAGACAGTAAGCTGCAACCCAGGAGTTCGTGAACTTGTCGGTTATACAACCGTCTCGATGACACCCTCCAATCTGACTGATTTTCGGAAAGTACAGACATAAGTCAGTATTATTGGCGTAGAACCACTGCCGAAAAAGAAAAGAAAGACTGGAATGGCCATTCTAAACTTATTAACCATCAACAACCTGCCATACCAAACCTCAGGTATTAGAGCACCCGAGGTTGGTACCCGCGACCCATCGATTAGAAGTCCAAGGTTTTAATACATTGAGCGTTTGCGAATACTCGACGTCCAAATCTTAGAGCCGGAAACCCTTTAGTTAAATCTTTGCCCCAATCCCTTGTCATGAGTTGTTGAAGGAGCTCGGTTTCGCATACCTCAGTAAGAGCGACAGAGAAGACACTGAGTTCGTAAAACGTATTTGAGAAAAGTGGTCATAGACGAATTCCGCCGCTACATTTACACAAACTAACATTAAATGATTGAAAATTAACGGAAACATTTCCAAAGGATAAGTGAAAAGTGGGCGAATTTTGACAACATTTGCAAGAGCAACGCCATGTTTATATGCATGATCTTCGCAGTATGCGCCAGGCCTCTTTTACCGTAGCTTAACTTTAAAGCCCTGAGGGCATCTATGCCATCCACATTCGTGAATTAAGTCGTTGCCTGGTCTGCCCTGTATGATCGCGAGAACAGTCGCGATATCGTACTTGATAAACGACAGCAGACTGTTTATTTACATCCAGTCGGTCCTTTAGTTGCAAGACTCGAAAACGTGTGGCAGTTGTCGGCCGACGGGTGATACCCACGCCGGATCCTGCAGCGGTACGTTCCTTTGCTTCGTATCAACTGAAAAGCAGGCATCCCAAGAAATGTAATCTCAAGGAAAGGTGTCCTTTGGGAAAATTAGGAAACGTTATCCAGTAACTTTTCGACACTGGATCCCCAGGTTGTGCTCAGACTTGAGAAAGTTATGCAAAGAACTATTAACATTTCAAAGTGTTGGTACAGTTATATAGCTGTCTAGGGTGGGCGCTTATTGGTAACCACAATTTGCGTCATGCCGTGGTGGACATAATTAACAGTCACAATGGCGTAAT